TTCCTTCTTTCCTTCTTCCTTCCTTCCCTTCTCTTTCTTTCATTCCCTTGTGGCCAAAATAAATCCTGTCTCATTAATCCAGTGTCACCTGATGGTATCTGAACCCACTCTTATGTAATGGTTGAATAACTTTAGATCTTCCTCTCTCTCTTTTTTACCCCCTTTGGGAACTAGACATTACAGACTAGGACATTAAAAAACAACAGCATATATGGGGAAAATTAGAAAGTAACTGTGTGTGCCCAGAAAAAGGCCCAGAAAAGACCCAAGAAGACCTTAAATTTATGCTTTAGGCTGATCCTCAACACAGAGAGAGCCTGCAATGATTTTTTTTTTTTTAAGAATAAGAACAACAACAACCAAAACCTGAGAAAGGAGGAGAATCTGATTGCCAAAGTTACCACATTATTAGATTCAAATGTCCAGTGCTCAACAAAAAAATCACAAGGCATACAAGGAAACAGGAAAGCATGGCCTTCAAATGAAAGAAATATATCAATAGAAGCTGTGCCCATAGGAGAGCTAATGTCAGCTATATTAGACAAAGACATTAAAGTAACTGTCTTAAAGAGGCTCAAATAACTAAAGGAAAATATGGAGAAACTCAATAAAATGTTGTGTGAACAAAATGAAAATATAAAAAAAACAGGTAGAAAACCTAAAAAGAAACAAGAAACATTCTGGATCTGACTGTACTATTACTGAAATGAGGAATTACCCGTGAAGGACCTGAGGGCAGACTGAGCAGAAGACGGAAGAATGTTCCTTCCTCCAGCACTCTCACCGGCTCTGCTCACTTCTCTTCGGTCTTTTTTTCTTCCTGTTCTTCAGCCTCAGTGATTTCCATTTTCTTTCTGGTGAACCTGAAGGTGTGGCGATGGAATAATTATGAGAGTGCCGGGGGAAGAGAGGAGGGAAAGGGGCAGGTAGAATATTGACACAATGGCTGAACACTTCCCAAGCTTGAATAAAGGCTTACATATAAACATCCAAAAACCTCAATGAATTCTAAGGAAGATGAACTCAAAGAGACCCACACTGAGACACATTATAATGAAAATTTTAAAAGACAAAGGCAAAGAGAGAATCTTGAAGGAAGCAAGAGAGAAGTGAGTTATCTCATACAAGGGATCCTCTGTAGGATTTCTCATTAGGAACGTTGGAGGCCAGAGAAGTGCTGTAAGGAGGGGTTGGGGAGAATCACACACGAATCCCACAGCTGGCAAAGCTGTCCTTCAAGAGGGAGGGCGAAATGAAGACATTCCAGGTGTGCAGAAGCTGAGGGGTTTCCGTCAAGTGGGGCAGCCTCCGCGCTCCCTCCTCCCAACGCAGCTTCCCGCTGGGACCTCATCCCTCTTCCCATCTTCCTGGAAGACAGAATCAGGGAAGGAAGCGCTGGGAAAAACTAAGGCGGGGCAGGAGAGTCTAACAGACTTTGGCTTCCATAGAAATCAGACTACCATAAAGGGAAGGCTGGCAAGGAGAACCTGGTCAGAATCTCATCCCATGGTCATTATCTTTGAGTATTTTGAGTCTAAAATAATGGAAACAGGCTCTTTCCTATCCTGCACGGAAAGGCAGCATTGGACCCAGGGACCATGGAGGGCCTCGGAGGACAGGGAGAGAACCCAACTCTAAACCGATTCCGTAAGCGCCGAGGAGTGTCTGGGATGACGCCCACGGAGGAGGGAATGTCTGTGTTTTATTTACTCTCTAATCACTGTTCCCTGAATAAGATGTGTGCTCCAGAAATAGTTGTTGGGGGATAAAAGGATGAATGACCCCTCACCTGGCCCACCCGTTCAGTGCGGTGGGGCCACCTTTAGAGCCTGAGGTTGGAAGAGCAATTTCCCTGCTTCTTCCGTGAGAGGGACAGGAAGAGCCCCAACAGGTGTCGCAAGTGGTTTCTGGTGTGAAGTGAATTTGTTCCACAATCATTTGAATAGAAACCCTGGGAAGGAAGCCTTAGAAAGTCCAAAAGCGATTTCCCGTTGCGGGGGCAGGGGGGAGGATGTGGGATATCTGTTTTGAAATGGTTATTGGTGACCATTTGCAAGCTTTTCTTTGTGTTGCAATTTATGGTGCAAGGAACATGCTGCAAAAAGCACCTGTGCCCTCTCTGAGGCTCGAACTCAGGACCTTCAGATTATGAGACTGACGCGCTGCCTACTGCGCTAAGAGGGCCACTTGGAGGGGTTCCCTCTTTTGCAAACACACTAGGAAAGATTACCTTTCAAGCACCGGGGTGGCCTCATGTCCCAGCTGTTGAACAGCCGAACCATCCTGGTTGACAACAATCCCTAAGGAGCCAGTGCCGTTTCCCTTTCATTCTCCTCTGGCCGTTTTCAGAAAAAGTTTTTTGACTGCGACACGCCTGGGTGTGGACGTCTTTGGGTTTCTCCTGCGTGTGTTTTGCTGAGCTGCTTCGACCTGGGTTTACGCGTCCTGCACTGTCCAGGACTGTGTCGAACTCAAGGCCAAGTTGCAGGACACGTGGGGAAAATACCAGCTTAGGAGACCTCACCCTTGTGGGATCACCGCTCCTCGTGAGAATCAGGTGAATTCTGAGTTGGAAGATCTGTATGTTCCGGACTTAGGGTTAACATCAGAACCGAGGCTGGGGTAGTAAAAACTGGAGAATGTGGGCATCGATCCCACTACCTCTCGCATGCTAAGCGAGCGCTCTACCATTTGAGCTAATTCCCCACCTGCTCTTCCGCTTGTCCACAGGTCAAGATTCGAACAATGGCCAGATGACCGCTGTGTTCAAAACAGTGCACAGCTGGTCCATGATTCTCTCTCATTGATGTTTCTCGATCTCCCTCTCCCTTCCTCTCTGACATCAATAGAAATATATTTTTAAAAACGAGGCCAATCCTCATTCGGCCTCTGGAGCTGAGAGAGGGCCCTCCCCTCCTTCAAAGCCAAGGCAGGGTGCAGAAGGGCCTGTGAACAGAACCCTGATCCTGCTGGGAGAAGGAGTGTGGGCGCGATGTGGATGCCCGGGGGTGACAGAGGCAAGCCGTGCTAGCTGCTACACCCGGCTCCATCCCCATTTTTAAAATAAGAGGAAATGAGTACTTTTAAGCATTTTGAAAGCTGAGAGCTCTGTTCCTTACATTAACCTGCATTAGGCCGTAGCCAGAGTTCCAGATCCAACCGTCCCAGAACTGATTCGACCTACAGCTTGTATTCAGCACTTGTGCTCAGGGCATGGCATTACTTGTCCGTGCTTGTCCATTGGCATACGAATCAGAATTGTACAAGCGTGGCTATTAATAAAGCCACACATCACAGGGCCTTATGACTACCTGGTAAAATGACACTGCATTTCTGAATCTGGACTCAGGGGCTACGTGCAACGCAGGGCAGAGACCTGAAGCTCCGCCCCAAACCGCCGCCTCCATCTGCTTCACAGAGAGGACAGGAGTGGTATGATTTATTCTGGAAATTGGTAATTTATGCTGCCTCAATTTGTCTATCGCATATATACCGTAACTCTCATTCACTCCCAGACTTACTTTTGCAGCCTCTTTAATAACCATCGATTTTTAACGTTTCATCATCACAATCTGTTCACCGCCAGCATAACCCTAGTTAACACTGTCTGCCTTAACATATACTCTCGATTCTTGTCATTGTCCCCATAGAAATTTGATCTGGAGAGAAAGAGCAGGCTTAGAGAGACCCATACTAAAGTCTTGACTCACCAGGTATGTGAATTTGGATGAATCACTTTTGAGTCACTCCATTACCTTATCTGCAAAATGGGGTGATGCTCACTTGGCAGGTTTGTTGTGCAATTACAGGACACAGTGCCAGGCACGTCCTGTCGGTAAAGCGTGGCCACTATTGACAGATCTACCCACCACAGAACTGATATGACCTATAGCTGGTACTCAGTACTTGCATTCAGTGCATGGCAATCTTCTAAAGCGTCGCCTCAGTAACTCAAAGGGTGTTTATCTATTCACCCAGCAAAACGTGAAACCCTGAGGATGCAAAGGTAAAGCTTACTCCTCATTCCTCAGGGAACTAACACCTAGTCAGAGAGACAAATCTAAACTCATAGCTACACTGAAACAGGAATGAAGGAAACGTGCTGGGGACGAACAGATCAATCACGTGGCAGGGCCGTCAGGGACACTCTCCAGACGTCGCACTGGAGCTTCATCCGGCCGGAGAACAATCCGACCAACGCTGTGGAGAAGGAAACGCAGGACTGAACGTCCCTGCCTGGCAGAGTTTGGGAAAAGCAGTCCCAGGAGGTGGAACGGTGTGAACTGCATGGAGGGGGCAGAACGGGCCGGGGGCTCGCCCGGAGCCTCGGGTATCCTGCAATGTTGTTTTTCTCTAGAGATGGCAGCTCCTTTCTGGTCCCTCCAGCAGTACTTTTTTCACATGAATGACATGAATCACAATAAAAATATTAAAACATTTTGAAAGACAGGTTGGCATTAACTTACAAAGATGCTTATTTATGAAGATGAGGAATTCATCCTGAAGGTACGAACAAGGCAAAATGGTGTTTAAGGAGAACGTTCTCAGCTCCGTGTTCTAAGAAGAGGGGTTGGTCACATGGTGGAGACAGACCGCAGTGGGAGCCACTCAGAGCCCGTGGCCTGCAGGGGTGGCCCAGGCTGGGGTGGCCCATGGTGTGTGGAGGGCTCAGACGGAGCAGAGGTCTGGGTGGGGAGGGACAGGCTTTGAACGTGATGAGCAAGGGGGATTTAGGAGACTGTTTGCACTGAGGAGTCAGGACATTCCATTAAACTTCACGGAATAGTTAAAGCGGTGCCGTGTCCTGGAGGAGAGCTTCGGGTTCCACCCGTGTCCTGTGCAGCCCTGATCCTACCAGGACCTCTGTTGGGTCGACGGACTATCCCTGCGACTATCCAATAAGTTCACTCTTTTGTTGTCATTTAAGTGAGTTTGGATGAGGTTGTGTTTCCTAAAACACAGCCCTGAGTTAGGAAAGTGAAAAGATTACACTCACAGAATTACCAGAGGGCAGAGAATTTATATCAAAACTCAGGCCACACGGGTGGAGAAAGAGCTTCTCGCTGTTAGGACACGCCTTGCAGGACACAGGAAACACTGAGATGATGGGGTGGGCCTTGGTCAGGTCCAAGGTGAGAGGAGGTTTTCATTCCAAGTCTTTGAGACCCGAAGCAGACCATCACTCCCCAGCCCCGACTGTGTCTTCTCTCTCGTGAAAACCCAAGTGCCCGGAATCCTAATCCTCATCAGAACGATGGCCAGGAGTGGGCCAGCTCTTCATCTTCCACAGAGTGTGGAGCTGGGAAGTCTCGAGGTGCAGGCTAGACAGGAGGTTTCCAGGTTAGCCCGCTCGCACGGAGGGCAGGCTAGCTGCCTCCACCCGGTCTGGTCTCGGTGACGGCTACAGGGCAAGGACTGGCCATGGGTGTTTGCATGGGTTTCACCTGAATCGGCCGCTGCACAACACACTGAAACCAACAGTGGTGGGCGCTGACGAAGCAGAGAATTCCTGAGGGAAGAAACGATGATGTTGAAGATGACAATGATGGCAACACGTGATGTTTTTCAAGAAATTACCAGTTTTTAAACAGGTTTACAAATGAGTGTGGGGTCTAGGGACCTGTCATCCCATTTCTCTACCCTACCTACCCCTCGCCCTCCTACAATCTATCCGATAAATTCTCCTATCCCAGCCATGGTTCTTACTGAATGTACAGGAGAAATTGAGGTATTTTTCTATAAAGGCAAAATTCCAACATAGAGTAGGAGCAGCTGCATCAAGCAAATGAAACGTCCCTGCACCAAATCCACACCCAGAAACTAACAGTGCTGGGGGGGGGGGG